TTAGGGGTTAGAAAATGTAAGTTTGTTGCAAAAACTCAATTCCCTATTAAACATTTTGCTTAATTTGGCAACAATTCTTAATTTTACTTTAAATAAGTCTAGCGTGGGCTAAATTTATGTAGCATTCTAAAGAAAATTTTGAAATTTAATAACTTCAACTGGGTCTTTTTGGAGTTTTAGTTTGGCACAGCAAAAAGTTAAGATTTTAGACGGTAAGGTAGGTATATAATGACACCAACGATCTGCAAGTAACTTTTTATTAACAATTTGATTTTTATCCAAAGCAAAATCTGACATTCGATCACATTTGTTGCCTTTTCTCTTTTATACTTTTTTGTCTGTGGATGCGTTTTAAATAAATAAAAATTGGTGAAATAAAGACCCAAAACACAATTGAAAACAAATTGATAAAACCGAACGCATTTAGCCCTGGTTAGTCTAGAGTGTATTTATTATCTAGGTTGGATTAACGGGTGTAATTATTATCTAGATTGGATTTATGGGTGAACTCATTATCTTGAATGAATTGATGTTTAGGCTGGATTGAAGGGTGTAATCATTATCTAGGTTGGATTGATGGGTGTAATCATTATCTAGGTTTGATTGATAGATGTAATTATTATCTAGATTGGATGGATGGGTGTAATCATTATCTAGGTTGGATTGATGGATGTAATTATTATCTAGATTGGATGGATGGGTGTAATCATTATCTAGGTTGGATTGATGGGTGTAATCATTATCTAGGTTGGATTGATGGGTGTAATCATTATCTAGGTTGGATTGATGGGTGTAATCATTATCTAGGTTGAATTGATGGGTGTAATCATTATCTAGGTTAGATTGATGGATGTAATTATTATCTAGGTTGAATGGATGGATGTAATCATTATCCAGGTTGGATGAACGGGTGTAATCATTATCTAGGCTGGATTGATGGGTGTAATCATTATCTAGGTTGGATTAATGGGTGTAATCATTATCTAGGTTGGATTAATATATATATAATCATTATCTAGGTTGGATCGATAAATTTAATCATTATCTAGGTTGAATTAATATATATAATCATTATCTAGGTTGGACTGATGGGTGGGATGGATTCCTTTTTTATTCCTCACAGTAGCTTCTACACGATGGATATAGGGTAGGACTAAGACCTTCTTATCTAAACAATCGAACTTTGAAATTACACAGGGTAATCCTCAAGTCACCTTATTTAAAATCAAGTCTATTCCAGTGATACTTAAAGATTTGGCAAAGAAAGCAAAGTACATTTTGTATATGGTCGTCTTTGTTCTTTGTTCTTTGTGAGTACGCTTTATGTCAGGCTATAGATTCAGACCTCCTGCCTCTTGGCCTTAGGATTGGGCTAAAACAATATGACGAAAGAAGAGGAGGATATATGACGAAAGAAAGGGGGGATATACGACGAAAGAAGGGAGGGATATATGATGAAAGAAGGGGGGAGGATATATGACAAAAGAAGGGGCGGAGGATGTATGACAAAAGAAGGGGGGGATATATGACGAAAGAATAAAAGTAAAGATGTTTTCAAAGTTCTGTCTGTATAGCAGAGGAGCGTAAACTTTAAATACAGAGGTTGTTACGCGAGCCATGCTGCGTGAAGAAAGTCTGTTTGTCGCCCCTGCGTATTTCTGAGTTTCTCCTGAAGATCTGTACGGAATGTATTGTGAAAAAACTAGTTTAGGAACTGTTTACAGTCCGACTGCGCAGACGCAAGATTTCTCGCGGAGTAGTAGTTATATTTATATTCAGTATATGTTTATTCGTTTTGCAAGTATTTTCCGTGTTCAGAATTCTGGGATCACCGTGGTAATTATTTTATATATATCTATGTTTATTGGTTGATTCTAGTATGATTGATGATTATGTATTCGTTTATTGGTTCCTAGCCACAGTTTTTTAATGCCTGAGTGGATTATTTGTTATAATTGTATGATTTTCACTCAAAGCTTTTTCTGTGGGTTTATTAAATTTGTTTAGATTGAAGGCTCAGAGAAATAAACGTTCGGAACCTTACTATCTTCCTTTTTATTATGAAGAGCGTTGAGAGAAGGGAGTCTTACGATCCAATCCTGAGAAATACCACACGGTACATATATTAGGTCTTTAGGGAAATCGCTAAGTAGCGAAACAGAGGTTTCTTTTGAGATTTGTTCTTCAATTTTCCTTTGATTTTATTTCATGAACGCATAAACGAAATTTTGTTATTTTTACAAAACCAAGCTTGTCTGCAGTCCTAGTTCTTAAGAATTATTGATGCTCTAAAAAATATTTTCTTCTCAGAATTGATGGTGAAGTGTCCCTCCCTGTACCTGGTCCCACCCTACCTTGGTCCTCCGCGGGCTCAATAGGCGTGGCATTTCAGGGCAAACCCACGCTAGTGGGCGGGTTTAGTTTAGCAGGATACAAGCATGGAATTACAAACTTGGAAAAGGTAAAACATTGCACGCATTTATTTTTAAAAATAAATTTATTATTTTAAAAATTACTTATTGGTTTAAATATCCAATATCCTGTTTGTTCCCTGCCAAGAAACTAAATGTTGTTTCCTATTCTTGACATTTTAGGATTCTTGGTTTACTTGGAGTTCAGACATTTCAAGCTCAAGAGTTTCTGGATTAGCTGTAGCATTACCAGACGATATATTCATGTACTGTTAGTTGTACTTATACAAGACGTTAATTCTGTACTGCTTGATGTACTTGTACTAGACGATATATGTCTGTACTGATGGCTGTACTAAGTACTTGTACCAGAGTAAATTTCCCTGTACTTCGTGATGGTGAATAACTTGGTTCGTTTTTCATAAACTTTTAAGGTTTTTGGTTTTAAGAGATACCGCACAAATACTGTGAAATTGTTAAGATTCAAACATTTAAAAAGTGTATTTTGAAAAAACAGAACAATTGATCAATTTTTATCCTCAGAAAAATTATAAGAAAAAAACGAACTTTTGGTTCGTTTCCATGCATTTATCTTCTCTCAGCGCCAAAATTTGTCATAATGGAAAGCAAATGTTTAGAATGAACAATTTTGAAATGGGAAAAACTAAACAAATACTAATAAAAACGAAGCAAGCTATTGCCCATTCAGTAGTACAGGCTGTACTCTTAGCTGCACTTGTACATAGACATTAAACAGGCATTAACTGAAGAAAAAAAACCATTAACGATCGGTTAATTTTTGTGAATAGAAATTCTTCTGTTAATGGAAATATCTGTTGTCAGATTCTAAATACAATAAATGGCTGTAGACGTAATTTCAATTTACTCTTCATACGTAGAGTGACATGTCCGATTCACAAAGGTATTTTTAAAAGCTTTGTCGGATCAAAAATAAACAGATCTCCTTATTTTTCTCCTTAAATATTGATTGTTTTTAATTGTGGCCTCTCTATCAAAAAAGGTTCTCTGATTTTCGCTGCAGACACAATGGAGTAAATTGTTAAAAATAAACAGTTTTTAAACAAGAAAACGAGGATATTTTTCACATTATTGATCAGATAAAAGTCTTGAGGATACCGTTGTGAATCGTGCATGACACTATGTAGATGGAGGGGTAACATTACCTCTTCAAGGGACTGTGGAGTCAAGAAGTCAATTTAAGGGGCTCTCCATTCAACATTAAAAGAGTGCCATGTTGAAATCACAACAATATCTTTTAAACCGTTGTCTTAGCAAAAACGATGGGAAAATTGATATATGATTGCAGAGGCCGAATTTAAAGAATTTGAGCCGGGGCTTAAATTCGGTTGGGCCCACTTAAAAATATTCAATTTAAGCCGGCGTTTAATTGAAACCGGTTTTGGGGGATTTGAGACGCGGCGGAAATTCATTAAATTCGGACACAGTTCTAAAGAAATTGACTTGCGGATTTACTCTACTGGAGAGAAAGAAATATATTGTTTGAATTCAACACTTTACCTAATAGAAAAACGACAATATCTTACTAATTGATGATCAGATAAAGGTTTAAAGGGCACCGTTTGGACGTGTTATTCTATAAAAAAGGGTAACTTGAAATTCCGCCTATAATATTAATAGTCCCTTTACTTTAAACATGTGATTACTGAAAACTGATTATTATGAAATAAATCATGTATCCTTGTATCCCCACTCTNTAAAGTGGAAGGCATAGAGTCTATGTGAAATGATCATTGGTCAATTATGAAACCAGCCTATTTCATAATTTGGTTTTCTTTTAACAATAATTTTAGATTTTCTCTTCGGGAAAGTCCAGATGGAGGAATCTGATTTGCCACAAATAGCGTTGATGTTATAAAAGGTTTTCATGGGACATTTCCCTCTAATGCAGGGTTTATCTACCAGGGCCTCAGGGGACCTGGAGTTCTACTAGGATACAGGGGTTTATTTCAGGACCAGGAGTTCTACTAGGATACAGGGGTTTATTTCAGGACCTGGAGTTCTACCAGGATACAGGGGTTTATTTCAAGACCTTGAATTCTACCAGGATACAGGGGTTTATTTCAGGACCTTGAATTCTATTAGGATACAGGGGTTTATTTCAAGACCTGGAGAAGGGTACTCAGGGTTTTATTTTAGGATCTGGAGTTTCACCAGGATACAGTAAACTCTGTAAAATGGGTCTTAAAGTAAACACTGTAAAGTGGGTCTTAAAGTAAACCCTGTAAAATTGGTCTTAAGGTAAACCCTGTAAAGTGAGTCGTAAAGTAAACCCTATATAGTGGGTCTGAAAGTAAACCTTGTAAAGTTGGTCTTAAAGTAAACCCTGTGAAGCTTGTCTGAAAGTAAACCCTGGAAAGCTGATCTGAAAGTGAACCCTGTAAAGCTTGTCTGAAAGTAAACCCTGTAAAGCTTGTCTGAAAGTGAACCCTGTAAAGCTTTTCTGAAAGTAAACCCTGTAAAGCTGGTATGAAAGTGAACCCTGTAAAGCTTGTCTGAAAGTAAACCCTGTAAAGCTGGTCTGAAAGTAAACCCTGTAAAGCTTGTCTGAAAGTAAACTCTGTAAAGCTGTTCTGAAAGTGAACCCTGTATAGCTTTATGAAAGTAAACCCTATAAAACTGCTCTGAAAGTGAACCCTGACAAGCTTGTCTGAAAGTAAACCCTCTAAAGCTGATCTGAAAGTGAACCCTGTAAAGCTTGTCTGAAAGTAACCCCTGTAAAGCTTGTCTGAAAGTTAATCCTGTAAAGCTTGTGTGAAAGTAAACCCTGTAAAGCTGGTCTAAAAGTAAACCATGTAAAGCTGGTCTAAAAGTAAACCCTGTAAAGCTGATCTGAAAGTGAACCCTGTAAAGCTTATCTGAAAGTAAACCCTGTAAAGCTTGTCTGAAATTGAACCCTTTAAAGCTTGTCTGAAAGTAAACCCTGTATAGCTGATCTGAAAGTTAATCCTGTAAAGCTTGTCTGAAAGTAAACCCTTTATAGCTTGTCTGAAAGTAATCCCTGTAAAGCTTGTCTCAAAGTAAACCCTGTAAAGCTTGTCTGAAAATGAACCCTGTAAAACTTGTCTGAAAGTAAACCCTGTAAAGCTTGTCTGAAAGTGAACCCTGTAAAGTGTCTGAAAGTAAACCCTGTAAAGCTGGTCTGAAAGTGAATCCTGTAAAGCTTGTCTAAACCCTGTAAAGCTGATCTGAAAGTGAACACTGTGAAGCTAGTCTGAAAGTAAACCCTGTAAAGCATGTCTGAAAGTAAACCCTGTAAAGCTGATCTGAAAGTGAACCCTGTAAAGCTTGTCTGACAGTAAACCCTGTAAAGCTGATCTGAAAGTGAACCCTGTAAAACTTGTCTGAAAGTAAACCCTGTAAAGCTGGTCTGACAGTAAACCCTGTAAAGCTGATCTGAAAGTGAACCCTGTAAAGCTTGTCTGACAGTAAACCCTGTAAAGCTGATCTGAAAGTGAACCCTGTAAATCTTTTCTGAAAGTAAACCCTGTAAAGCTGGTCTGAAAGTGAACCCTGTAAAGCTGGTCTGAAAGTAAACCCTGTAAAGCTTGTCTGAAAGTAAACCCTGTAAAGCTGGTCTGAAAGTAAACCCTGTGAAGAGCTCCCTAGGGTATTCTGACTCTTAACTAATAGAGATGTGAATATCTTCTTATATTTCAGATTTAGAGGATAAGAGGGGAAGAGGAGGAAGAAGGGGGGGGGTCTTCGCTCAATCTACAAGTGTATTATCTATTTAGCCTTCTGTTTTCTGTTTATAGGAGTATTATAGAGATTCGGAAAGATCTAGACATAAAGGAACTGAGTCTTTGCCACAAACTGGAATTTTCTAATATTTATATCTTTAAAGCTTAGTTTCTACAAATTTTTATTGCTTCTCAATTTCTACACCTCCTTTAATTTTTTTACAATTTCTATATTTCTTTGATTGTTCATTAATACCTATACTTCTTTAATTACTCGCTAATTTCTATATTTCTGTAGTTTTTTTGTTCATTCATTTCTATACTTCTGTTCCTTAATATATATAAATCTTTGATTGTTCATTAATTTATATAAATCTTTTATTTTTCAATAATTTCTACACTTCCTGAATTGTTCATTCCATAGTTCTTTGATTGCTTATTAAAATTTGTAATTCTTGATTAGAAGGCTTGATGATTTCCAGTTCGATTTGTGAGAATTGGCTTTCACTGATTATTTCCTCTTGGGCCGGATGAAATTCTGATGAAAGACCATAAAATAAAACGTTTAAAATGTCATATGATATGAATATGAGAAATCTAAAAGACACACACCATAAGTGCATTGAATGTAAAATATTTATAAAACTAGAATATTCTAGAATATCTGTATTTGTTGATGTGTTTAAATCCTATTATATTCCCCTGCTACCACCGCCCCCCCTCCCTCCTTCTCCCTTCTCCCTCCTTCCTCCCTCCCTTCTCCCCCTCTCTTAATACACTGTTCAATAATGGAGAGGATACACCCATACCATCTGTAATGTGGTAGGTTAGATAGGGAGGGGGAGGGGGTAGGGATGAGGGAAGGGTTGTATAACAGAGAGTAAGGATCTCTAATTAGATTTAATTAATCCTAAATTAGTTCGTGTTTAATATGAAGTGAGCAGGAAACCTGGAATTAACCTTAAAGGGACTGTATACGCAAATTCAATAGACCTTCCATTTGAAAGAGTGCCAAGTCCGATTCACAACAGTACTCTTTAAACCTGAGTAATATGTAATCTTAACATCGTTATTTTCAATCACGGTTTTCTGTAAAAGTGGCTTTTGCATTTATGCACCGCGCCGGAAGAAAAGAAGAATATCACTTTCCCCGGTGGAAAAACGACGATATCTTCCTATTTCTGTTCAAATAACCAACTGTTGGGTATCGGATATGCCACTCTATGAATAGAGGATCACTTAAAATTACGTCTACAGTCCCTTTAAAGGAAAACTTTAAATCTTCATAAAAAATTCCTTTTAAACACAGCAGTGGGAAAAAATTTGTTCGAATTTAATACCGTACAGTCCGAATTTAATACCGTACTGTCCGAATTTAATACCGTACCGGTCGAAATAAATTTCACGCATTTAATTTAGGACCATTCACAATAATCTAAAAGTTGCAAGCTCTCACGCAAAAATCTAGTAACTTAAAGTTTAAAAATGTATATGTGTTTGTCTAGGGCTACAGAAAAGTACAAGTGTGTTAGTGTGGTTAAGTCAAAGGCCATATAGCGATGCGACGCTTCAATGTCTTGAAAATTGTGCAACTGCGTACCTAGCAGTTTTGATCTATGTGCACTCGCTAGTATTGGATTAATAAAAAATATTCAGATCCACCCTGCATCATGTCTACCTACACGTTGTATAAGCCAAGAATTCATCAATAACTATAAAATTAATCATATTGGAAAGTACTTAAATGCCCTGATTTTTTTTTCATAATTTAAAAAGATTGAAATTTTTCAAGTATTTAATCTTATAGAAAAAAAACGAAGAAAAAAAGGCAAAAATTCTAAAATATTTTGTTTTGGGTTTATATTTTTTGGAATCCTTCGCGATCATAATGTTTGGATTATATTGGAGTAAAGATCAATTTATTTAAGATATGGGATTATCGGAAATATGTAAACTTATTTATAGTCGTTTAATTATAATGTAAAAACATTAAGGGATAGTTGGCGTAAATTCAAGTGCTCCCCCCACCCCTCTTTTTTATAGGGTTGGAAGCTCAATGCACATTGGTACCCTTTTAACCCTTTATTAGAAATATATTATTTCGGATACCATTGTTTTTTGATCCAGAAATTTTTCACTTTCAATTGTGAATTTTCTATAAAAGTGAGTTGCAAATCTTTGCAGTAACGGTAAGAAAGAAAGAAAATCTATTTTTAACAAAACGACCATGTTCTTCTTTTCACGTTGTTTTATTCCTTTTAGTTATAGAGTAAGCATGGAGAAAGGCTTACTTGTACATAAACTGTGGTCAACGATAGAAGTGGCACAGATAACAAGTCTCTTCATCTATATAGTGTAGGTATATATATCCGTTAAGAATTTGCAATCCAGAGAACCATGCGTTCAACTTATGTTCTCTGGGTAAGCATTTCTTAACAGATAAATATCCCTACACGATATAGACCAAGAGGATGGGCTTGGAGTAGCTGAAGAGGCCGCAATAGTAGGATTTCCGGTGCAAGGTAATCCTAAATTTAAATCCTATCAGTTCTCTACTCTCCACCAACTGGACAATCTTGATGGTTGTCTTTTCTCCAGGTAGTTCTGGATCCAATTGACACCTCGCCCCTGCATCATACACTTTGATGTCTTTGTGTCTTGTAGCCTATAGGTTTAGCCGACAAGCAATTCCGAACTATTGTAAACTTACACACATAGTTAGGTGCACGTTTGGCTTTTAAAAAGGCATACTCTAAAATTGAAGCATGTCATGTCATGTTACTATTGAAAAGTGGTATGAAATAAAGGAAATATAAAGCCTAAAAATTGACGTGAGTAAATCTACAGAGTATAGGAAAAAATGTATTTACAAGTAAAAAATTACAAAGAAAATTTTACTAATGAATCATAGAAAGCCGGAGCATCTCTTGGCAGACTCTCCGCCTTTCATTTGCCTTCTACGGCCGAGGTAAATTTTCCGACTCTTTGTAAATACTAATTTTT